CTAGCAAGACAAGAGCAGGACAGAATACAGCAGTCAGAAGCACCTGGAGATGCAGATAACCCACCCAGCCCCCCCAGCTCCCACCTGTCCAACCAAGCACAGGCAGTGGGATTCATTCATAGGATATATTTTATATGAAAACAGGCAATAAAAACGCCAACAACCTCAAGCTGTGCCCCAGCTCCTCTCCAGAGCACAGGTGCACTTAGGACAGGGGACACATCCAGCCCAGAGGGAGCTGGTTGGTGTTTCCCCAGGTCACACATGGGATGGGCAGTCCTTGGCCACACCTGGGAGGGGACGGCAGCCTGTGCCTGTCACCACCTCACTGGGAGACACCGATAACTTAGGGAAATAAATACAGGGAAGAAACCAAAGAGCCTCTGGGTTCAAACACGACACCTCAGGTATAATTTGAAGGAAAGCAAAGTGGTACACTGATTTCTCATGGCCAGGTGAGGCTTTGCCAAGTCCAGGAATGTGCTGGAGATCGGAGACGGAGGCTCCCAGCTCGTGGGCTTTGCTGCAGGAAGGAGTCCTGTAGCAGGAGGAGTTTCTTTCTTCAGGAGTAAATCTTTGGCTTTGGATTTGGTGAACCACAAGAGGTTGGACCCCGAGTCCGTGTTGGAGCTGGAGGAGGCTGTGGGCAGGTGAGACCTTTCAGAAGCCACCCAGGATGAGCAGGGACAGCCAAGGCTGTCTCTCCAGCTGGAGATCCACCTCGTCCACGCTGGGGTGACCAGTCCCAGCTCCCACCCTGGTCTCTGTGCTGGATCCCGCAGGGACAGTGGGGTGGGCACTGCTCAAACCTTCTTCCTCGGTCAGGACCACCCTGGCTCCATCTGTCCTCGGCTGCCACAGCTCCTGGGAGGCTCCAGGAGCCCCGAGGGGAGAGGACAGCAGCCAAGCAGGGAAATCCAGTCAAGAACAACAAGGGGAAGAGTCCAGCTCGGCCCAACCTTCGGAACTCATGTTTCCACCACTCGGATGAGAGGCAGCGGCTTGGGGCCTGTCAGCCTTTTGCTGCGAGAGAAGAAGGACTGTTCAGCTGGAGGAAGGGATCTGGGAGGATAAAAACTGTGGGAAAGGGTCCTGCCCAAGCCTGGTTGGTGGTGGATCCCCACAAAGCACCCCCAGGAGGGAATTCTGTTCCCTTGAGTTGGGCTGGAGGAGGGACGTGGAGTGGAGACATGAAAATGATACAGTATGCTCCAAAGAGCTTCCCTAAGTCCAGGAGAGCATCCCAAATCCATCCTCATGCCCCAGAGGAGTCAGAGCTGCAGGTGAAGCTGCAGAGGTTCCCCCGTGGCTGGAGCTCTGTGTTCTCCACGTACCTGCTCACATACTCTGACTTGGAGCGTGTCCTGGAGCTGTGTCCACCACGACTGACTTGTTTCTCGATCAGGTGCTCGATGCGGTCGTGCATCTCCAGGTTCTGCAGGAGAACGGGACAGGGAATGACAGGGGCAGGGACAGGAGTGGGGGCAGGTGGCCATTCCAGCTCCAGGGCAGTGGTTGTCCCTCTGTGCTGGCACTGGTCACACCTCCAGTCCTGGAGGCAGTTCTGGGCCTCTCACAACAAGAAAGGCATTGAGGGGCTGGAGGTGTCCAGAGATGGGAATGGAGTTGGGGAAGGGGCTGGAGAACTCCTGAGGGAGCTGAGGGGGCTTCTGTGGGACCTACCTCAGCCTCCAGGTAAGCCACTCTCTCCTTCAGCTCCTGGATCACAGCATCCTTGGCCTGAATCACTGTTTTGGAGTTCTGGAGCTGCAATGCAAGTTCATTAACAGCTTGGAATTCCCTCTGGTGTAGGAGTGGGTTAAAGAAGTGTCCAGGGAGCAGGGAAGTCCCATCCCAGGCTCTGCCTTCATCCCTCCTCTCTCCCACCCCCTCACCTGCTCGATCATCTGTCGGACTTTGCGCTGTTGGCTCTTCAACATGTCATCCAGGTGATGGATCTTCTCCCTCAGCATGGCCACCTCCTTCTCCAGCTCTGCTGACCTGGGAGAAGAGAGGAAGAGAGTCCATGAGCGTGCCAAAAAGGGAACACCCCCCGCAAAATGCAGCGTTACGTCACCCAGCTCTAGAAATATTTTGGCTAGACAAGAGGCAGAGACCAACCCTATCCCAGCAGGAGCCACAAAGCCTGGCAACCATGGAGCCACAGGAGCATCAGGAAGAGTCAGGCCACAAAAAAGGCCTTCCAGAAACAACCCGTTCCCAGTTGGCCCTGGAGCACCAGGACAGAGCTGGGTGGAACGGCCACTCCGCAGGCTCCAAGGACCTGCCCCGAGCTCCCAGCGAGGCCACGGAGGTCTCCAGGGCTGATCTCTCAGCACAGCAGGACGGTTTGGGGGATGAGTCAGCTCTGGGGAGTTGGGAGGTGTTTTGCAAGGCAGAGAGGCAGCACACCCTGCCCAGGAATGTGCAGTCATGCCCCAGCGAGCTGCCAGCCCAGCCGGCGGCATGGGCTGCTCCGGGGCTGGAGCCTCACCGGTCCTGTTGGGCCAGCTTGTCCCCTTCCACGCTTCGGAGCCGCTCCAGCTCGGCCTCTCCAGCTTTCATCTTCACCAGCAAACTCCTGTGCTCCTGGGGCAGAGAGAGGAGACGAGTTATGTGTGTGGAAACAAGTCAGGACACATGTTCCCAGGGCTCTGCAGAACAGCAGGGAGGAACGGCCGGGCAGGGAGGGAGCTGAGCTCTGCTCGGCCTCCCTGTGCCTTTCACAGGCTGTTTGGGCAGGAGACAGACAGAGGGGACAGATGGGTCCCACACCTTTCCCCCAGGACACAGGCACAGCACCAATCCACTGCCTTCCCCCACGGCAGGACAGGGAATGTGGGCCCAGATCCACCACACAATCATGAACACACTGAGCTAGAAGGGACCAACAAGGACCAGAGAATCAGAGAATTGTTAAAGACCTGCAAGATCACCAAATCCAACTGTTGGTCATCAGTTCCAGCCTTTGATCCTCAGTCCAACTCCTGCCCAGGACAGCCCAACAATCCCACCCTGTGCCTGAGAGCCTTGGCCAACCTTCCTGACTGCTGGCATCTTGGTGCTGTGACCACTTCCCCGTCCCAGTGCCTGACCACCCTGTGGGGGAAGAACTTTTCCCTAGACCTCCTAAACCAGCCAAGTCCTCCCCTGCAGCGTTCCACGCCATCCCCTCAGGTCCTGTAGCAGAGAGAGGAGTTCAGCTCAACCTGCACTGTCACATTTATTACTTTAATGAAATTCTGAGCAGGACAAGAGCTCCAAGAACACTCTAATCAGGCTGGAGGTTGTGTTAATGCCCCATGAGAAGAAGAACCAGTGGCTGTCTAGACTCCATGCTCATTTCCAGGATACCTGGAAGAGATTGCACGGACCAACCAGATCTTCTAGACCTGAGAAATGCACCTTTAAATCACACCAGTGGCTTTCCAGTCATTCCCAGCAGTTGGATGTCAGGTTAGACCTGGTTGGGAAGTCAAACCCTGCATGAGTTTGGGCTGTGCTGGTTCCCAGTCCTGGTTCCCAGTCCCAGCTCTGCTAACCCCAACCCACTGTGGTTGCTGGTACCTTCTCCATCCCAGCCAGGAGTCTCTGCAGCTCATCCACCTGCATCTCCTTCTCCACCACGTTCTTCTCTGCTCTCTGCAGGGCAGAGTTCGACCGCTCTGCCTCCTCCTGGTACTGTGTGACTGTCCTCTGCAAAGGAGACAGGGAGGGCTTTGCCTCGGTCACAGGAGCTCTGGGTGACATCCCAAAGCCTCATGGGTGCTCCAAGCCTTGGCAAGAGGATTTTGCTGAAGGCACCTGAGTGTCTCAAACAGCCCAAGGTGCTTCAGAGAGAACTTCTTCAGACGGTCCCTTGTCTTCAAAGCACTTCAAAGGGGCAAGTGCTTCATTCCTCTGCATATGTCACCACCTCGGGTGACCAAAGCCCCCCAGATGCCACCAAACCACAGGACTTCCTATGCACAAGGCCAAGGTGTCCCCAGGGCACGTGGCACTGCTGTGGGAGGACAGACAAACATCCCTGTGTCGGAGGAAGTGATGACAGCCCAAACCCACTTCCCAGAGGACACCGTCCCCATCGTGCTCCAGGGATCCCCCCAGGCTGGTCAGGACCAGTTTGGGCTGTGGGACAGGATGAGAACTGGGGTGTCACCAGCACTGGGAGGTGTGTGGTGACACAGTCAGGCCCTGCCCATCCGGGACATGAGCAGTCACCAAAAACACACCGAAGGGGACAATTAACCACCAGGGAGGAGGAAGGGAGGGGACCTGAGGTGGCAGGAGGAGGTGGAGGCCTCCAGCAGCACAAAGGTGTCCCTCAGACTTCCTAAAAGCAAAAACCAATGTCTACATCAGGTCAAATTCCCCTTTCCCAGCAGATAAGTCACCTCAAAGGCTTTTCTCTCCAACTGGTGTTGCTTCTCAGCCTCCTGCAACCTCATGAAGAGCCTCTTGGCCGTCTGACGGAGCTGCTCCACATCCTCACCTGAGCAATCCTCCTCCTGCGCAGGGACAGGGCAGGATGAGCCCTCAGGAGGTACAAACGTGGGTGACAGAGCCTGGTGACATCCCTTCTCCACTCCTGTCCTCACCTCCCACACTCCAGGGACACCTTCCAGCCCTCATGACAACATGTGCAGGATCCTTTGGTGGCATTCCAAGCGCTGTTTTGGAGGATGCCACCCTGCTCCACGCTTGGGCAACCTGAAACCCTGCAAGACCCAGCCCAAAATCCCAGCCCAGAGCATCTGGGTTGGACTTGATGATCTCAGAGGTCTTTTCCAAGCTCAACTGTTCCATGATTCCATGATCTGTCCCAGTCAGCAGAAGGATGAGGAGCTGGAGGAATATTTACTCAGATTCCTGTTATCCCACTGCTACAAAGCTCTGAGGTGGCTTTCAAAGAGGTTTAAAACCTCAAAATGTAGATTTTTATATCTAAAATCGAATCGTTCTCCATATCTGATCTGACCCTGGTTAGAAGGTGAAGAGTTTGCTGCACAGCTCAAGGCTGGGAGGAAAATGTCCAGTTAAACCCAGTGCTTCATAAAAGCATGGAATATTTGGGTGGGATTGACTTTTTAAAGGTCATCATGACCAACCCCTCTGCAATGAGCAGTGACACCTCCACCTAGACCAGGTTACCCCCAGCTGCATCCAACCTGACCCAGAACATCCCCAGGGATGAGGTTCTGAGAGCTGAAATTCCCCTTTTTGGGGGGAACTCCATACCTGCTCCTCCCATGAATCCCCACGCAGCCGCTCGGGGTAGGACCAGCTCCCGTTCTGCTTCTCCAGCATGACCTAGAAGCAGAGGACAGAGGGACAGGGCTGTGACAGCAGTTGGGTGTGGATGTCACCAGTGCAGATCGAGCTCAGGGGCAGCACAGCGACTCGAACCGGAGGAATTTCTGCCACCAACATGCACTTGTGCCCAGCCAATGCCCTTTGCTGTCCAACTGCTCCCACAGAGCTGCTGATTTCACCTCCAAACGTGGATTTGATCCACCACAAACACCCTCAGTGGCATTCTCCAGCCCAAAGACAACACCTTGTCAATAATTCAAGGTCACTTAATGCCCAAGATGCTCCTGTTACCTGTGTGTGCTCGTTAGCTCCTTGGCTGCTCTCAAGTTTACTACTTAAGTCTTCTCTCAGCTTCTTCAGAGTATTTCTAGCCTGGCAAAGGCAAGTGAATTTAGCTTGATCTGCATGGAGAGGGTCCCTCAGCCTCAGAATCGATGGATCATTGGTCACTGGTGGCTTCTCACCACCCTGAAGCTCTGGGTGTGCTACAGCCCTGCATGGGGCTGGGCTGGAGATGAGGTATTTGGACAGTGCAATCCAAACCCAATCAAAATTCATCACAGAACAGCACAACGAATCAACACAAATCAAAATTAGAGGGAGGAAGGGAGTAATCTGGAGATTCAGCTGATTTTTCACACCTTAACCATCCACATCACCTTGGAGGTGCCCTAAATCCCTGGTTGTGCCCAGCTCCCTCCTGCCTCACCAGCAGACACTGACAGCTCGAGCTCCTGAGTGAAGGCAGTGAGACCAGAGGATGATTTACAGCTCTGGTACCAATCCCTGCCCAGCTCTTTTCCCAGAAAAGCTCTCTCCAAGCACTCCCGGCCTAGATTTTGGCAGCCTGAGGCATTGGGGTAAGAGTTTGCCAGAGCTCAGGCAACAGCAGGACAAGGCAAGAGCAGGAGGTACAGCTCTTGGATCAACACCCCATGACTGAGGCATTCCCAGGATTTTTCCTCTAGGACCCAGTGCAGGGAACTTCTCTTGGATGCCACCAGACTGGTGCCACCACCGTGACACACTGGTTTGGCTTTTCCTCGTGGTTTTCACATGCAAAATTAAGTCCTCAGCTATTCCATAGGGCCCTGACCAGCTTTTCCAGACAGAAAAGGTCAAAATCCCACACAACTGTCTCTAAAATATCCCTTTTAAACCCCATTCCAAGCTGTGAGGAGCTACAGGAAAGCCTAGATCAGAAGAGCTGAAGCCCAAGCCCCAGGATAGGGAAGGATCAAGGATAAAACTGCAGCACTCAGGTTAGATAAGATTTGGGTGAGCAACTCCCCCGGAGCAGCCCCAGGCAGGAACAGGCTGTTTTCTTTTGGATTGGGAAAAAAAGCTCCATGAGCTTTGGCACAGGAGGCAGAGGGATGACTAAAAACCTGGAGCCTCCTCCCAGCTCAACCCTGGGGCTCAGAAACTCCTCCAGGGGAGCAGCTCTTCCAATTGATGTGTTTCCCTTTTGTTTAGGCCCAGCTCCGGATGTGCTCCCACCGCCAGGGTCTCCAAAACCCCATCCTGAGCAGGAGCAGAGGGAAGGGTTAACCTTCCCTGCCTCCTCCTCCTCCACTTTACTCTGGGAGATGAGACATACCAGGGCAACTGCCTTTTAACAGGCAGAGCCTCGCCCAGGAGCAGGGGACAGCCTGGGGGGAAAGTCACCGCGCAATTCCCTTCAAATTCCGCCCAGAGAGCTGAGCAATTAGTCAGCTTGGATTAATTTATGGCCTTGATTAGGCTATTGCCCTTGGAGAGGCAAGTCAACAAACTGGAGAGTTCAGCTCCGCTGCTGGAGCAGCTGGGGCTCCAGGGACTACCTGAGACCAGCCAGGGGGGTGTTCCCAAGGGAAGTAGCACATTCCAGACCCCCAGAGCCAGAGCTCCCTGGGATGGGAATTACCTCCTGGATGTAGCGAACTTCACCCTTCAGCTGGCTGACGTGTTCCTCGTGGTTCATGCTGCCCTCGGCTCGGGCCTTGAGGTAAACCTGCCCAGGAGACACAGGGCAGAGGGTCAGACTGCCCCAAATCCCGCTGGGAGTGCCACAGGGATCAGCACACCGCATCCCACTGCTTCCCAGGGCGCGTCAGTCACACCTTTCCCCTTTGCACTTGATCTTTCCTGGCTGTTTAAAGCTGTTCCTCCTCCTGCAGCTGCCCCAAGTTCTCACTGCATCCCCCCAAATCCAGGGGAACCCACCGAGCTGATGCTTCCAGCACTCCACCAGCCCTTCCCACACAACCAGGGCAGCTTTTTGGCAGACAAAGCCTTTTGTCAGCCCAAGTGACTACACAAAATCCCTCTGCGACAACCCCCCAGAGCAGCAACTGCACCTTGATGATCTCCTCGTCTCCATCGTTGGACTTGATGCATTCCGAGGCCAGGGAGTGTCCATTGCTGGATCTGTTGGCCACCATGGCAAAGGCTTTTCCCACTGGCTGTGGAGACACAAGGAGCTCTCAGAGAGGAGAGACTGGCTGGAATGGTTCTCCCAGCTCCAGGCAAATAAGCATCGCTGCTCCTTCACCGAGGAACACGGCACCGAAGGGTTTAACCCACTGGGAGGGGAACTCTCTACTTCACAAAGTGCAATGAACAACCCCATTCCTCATCCTGAAAATGTCCCCGAAATTTGCATTTTCCCCTCCCCACAGGGGACACCAACCTTCTGCTTCACCTGCTCCCGCCGCTCGCCCGGGAGGTCACGGGGCAGCGTCAGCCGCAGCACCTTCACGCTCTCCTGAAACAGGACATGAGGGTCAAGTGGAATCCTAAGCCTAAGTTTAGGCTCCCTGAAAGGCTTTTCCCACGTTGGCATCGCTGTGGAGACACAGACAAGCTGCTTCCCCTTCACTCTGAGCCTGCAAAGTGAATCCTGCCAGAATTAAACGAGCGACAGTGAGGGACAAGGGTGTCAGACAAATCCATCAGGGTTTGGAGAAGCCACAGCCCAACCAAGGCTGAGGTGATGCAGAAGAAGCGACCACCAGGCTCACCTTGGTGCCGTGGCAGCCGGATGACACATGGAATTTGGCAGAGATGCTGGAGAGGCGAAACCAGCCGTTCCCAGGTCACAGTCTGGGATCTGGCTGGATTTATCCTCCTCCCTGCACCCCCACAGCTCTGCCAGCACAGCTCCAAGCAGAGCCCAGCAGCAGCACCACCGAGACCCACAGCAAATCCCTTCCTGCTCGTGGCCTGCAGCGCCCACACAGAGGCTCAGCCCAGACACAGATCACCTTTACCCCTTCACTCTGAGCCTGC